TACCTGGAAAAAAGGTGATCTGATTTATACTTCAGTCTCACAGCATCCCTCACTCCTAGTGGGGGACTGGAATAGTACATAATATCTGATATTAGACCTGACATAAAAAAGAAGGCGAGTTTTATGGAGCACAACAAGGCTAGAATTTATAACCTGCTGCATATTTTGACAGCACTTAATAAACTCACATACAAAGCATATGCTGAGATAGTAGAAATTCTACAGAAATCACCTGTTCCTGAAGCCAACAGCAATGGGACATTTCTACTTTTATAAATAAAAATAGAAAAAAATCATAATAATGTGGAGCTTAACTGATGAAATTAATATGGCAAAGCCATTTTGAAGAACTCTGAAACAATGGGTATAGAGACTAGTTTGTATATAGGAAGCCCAGTGAAGCAATTCCAAATGAGTTATCTGAAGCAAACTGAACTGATGCTAAAAGATGAAGATAAAATTACAGTATCTATTGAGATCTATATTAGAGATGCCGAGAAGCTTTCTGTAGAAAAGAAAAAGATACAAACAGGCAACAGTGGGACTACATACTTGCACTGAAAATGACAGTTCTGTAATAAAGAAGATTGCTTGTTCAAGGACAGACTGTTGCTAAACTGCAAGAACATGGGGCACACAGAAAATGCACACGGCAGGTAAAGCAAAACTGTCTCTGCAGGAAAACATGAGGAAAAAAAATCAGATTCATTAATCTTGCTCTGAAAATGGTATAAAATATCATTACTTTTGGAAGGGATGATATAATCTAGATTTCTTTAAAAGTGAAAAGGAGGTGGTCTTTTGACAGAGTTTAAAAATAAAAGTTGCTTTTTTTTTAATAAAAAAAAAACCAACTTCACAGCAGGGTGATCAGGAACTATCCTGATATAAAAAATGGCAGAAAAGTAAAATAATAAAGATTACATTCTTTTTCTCTTGGGTATTATGAAAGCAGCAATAACTCGGCTGTAGGCAGCAGATAGTAAATGCCTGTGTTGTGAAACAAGGAGGTTGCACATCTTTCCACTCTGACAGATTCAATCAAATGCTACCTGTTTGAAATGTAAGACAAAAAAGGCAACTACGAGCACTTGAAGTAGCAAATGTTAGGTTTTAAATGCACTTGAATAAAAAGCTTACCTACAGATTATTATTTTTTATCTAAAAATTGTGTCATCTTTGCCAATTAACGTTTTGTCTTTTCCTCTTGATTTTTTATTTCACTCTGACTCACTCCAGCACATTTCCTTTTTCCTTCCTCAGCAATTTCTGACTGCCATTTGCTCTAAAAAATGCCATTTCTCTCTTCAGTGGGACTCGGCTCATGCCTCTGGACTTTGCCGTCTCCCTCTTCTTCCATCCTTCTCCGCACTTCACTGCTATCAGGTGCTGGGTCCTACCAGTGCTGAGCAAGACAGAGATCTGCCACTGCTCATTTCAGTTGTAGAGGGGAGCTACAGGACCACAGAAAGCACTGTTGCAGGCATTCCCATGTCCTATCCTAACCAACTGACTTAAGACCATAGTTTCCTTACCCCTGTCCTGCCATCTCCCTCAATCAACTTCATTGCCATTCCCGCCACGCATATGGCTACTCCTATCTCCAGCCAGCTTCAGAGTCCATTTATTTCTCTTAAGGTAAATGCAACCTACCCTCCCAGCTCAAGCAGACCTGAGTGAGGTGTTTTCAGAGGGATTACCTAGGCCCAAATGAAACAGTCATTAGGATGGGATGCAAAATTCTAGAAAGAGGTTATCCTCCAGGAAGAGCCAGAATTGGATATCCTGGTCAGAAAACTTACGCCATGAAGGCTTTAACTTTTTTAACTTGTTTTTTTGTTGTTTTGTTGTTGTTGTTTTTAAATTCCCAAACTGTGAGGTCCCAAGCATCACCATCTTCTCCCTATGGCCCATCCTATGCTTTTCTACCTGTTTGAATAAGTGTTCAGCTTCTAAATTATGTGTTCCTTTTCCCATGCATGTTACAAGGAGAAGGATCAAACAAGCTTTTCCTCCTTATGTATCTTCAACAGAACAGTAGGTTGCTTTCAAGGACTGCTTTCCTCTCCTTCATAAACCAGAAAGCTTTTGCCCCTGTGAGTCAAGTTTCTCGTAGGACATAACCTCTAATCTCCCTGCCTGAGAGGAGAGGACTCACTAATTTCTTCCTAACTCAAGCATGGGAATGAGGAAAAGAGATGTCGTTGCTACTTTCTATGGCATTTTAGCCATGTTATACACAACAAAGTACATGGGAATATACATAAAATTGCTTAATTATTAAAAAGAATTGATCAAGCACTGGCACAACTTTGTTAGTTCATAATCACGTTCCCTCTGTGCTTGCTAATATGTTTTTACAAGCAATTAACTCCTTGGGTTTGTGTATAGATTTAAAACTGAAACAAAAGGCAGTGATCATTTAAAAATACATAGAAGCGTATTATGTCTGATTCCTTTTTGTACTACTGCTTCATTATTCTTGACATAGAGATTATGAGTGTAACACAATGAAACACGTCCCGGTGATGAGATAAGCTATTGCGCTTAGCTTAGTTGTACGCACTCTAGCCTAAGCTTTTTTTGCCATTAAACTAACCACTTACAGATGTGATTTTGTGGGTGTTGTTAGCCACACACGCTTCAGTGCACCAGTATCTATAAATAACCAGCAGACCATGCATAATGAAATAACAAGTCTTATACTTCCCACAGAATCATTTGTCGTGCAGTTGTTTTCATGTTAATGATTATGGGAAGTGCTCTGAGATTCTGACTTTACGTTTTCCATTTGGAAGTTAAAGACTTAATACAATGAGGGCCCACTCCTGAAGCTGTTATTTTCTTCAAGGTTTCTATTTGCCAAAGAAATGCAGCCTCCCTTGTCAGGTGAGTAAGTGAGGAACACTTTCTTTTTGTAGCTATTGCAAATTCACTGATTTTCCTGAACTCAGCGTTGGCAAGACTTTGGGCTGTGCTTTGCCTTGTGGGTATCAAGGAACTGCAAGTAGGACTACCAACCGCTGAGTAAGGAGAGAGAGGGGCTGTTAAACTGTTAATTTTAAGTGGTCTCATTAGAACTGAAGGGAAAGAGTCCTCTCATCCAGGGAAGACCTAGGACATCAATGAAAAGTTCTGACTCCAGCTGGGAGAAATAAATAGAAAAGAAACTTCTCAACTTTTGCATGATAACCTTTTGCATGAAAGGGGGGAAAAACAAACAAATATTTAATTTTGAAATTTTTTGAAGATACTTGATTTTCCACTGTCTGTAGCTATCATTAGTTTAAATTTGTGAAAAGTAGTTTTCAATTTAAGTTAGTAAATTCTTGTTTCCAGAGTCCCAAAAATCTTAGCATTAAGGGTAATAGGTCTGAATTAACCCCCCTCCCAATGACATTTTGATGCCACAGGCTGTTTTCATGAAGGATTTCAGCTTAGACAAATTGGATTTTTTCCAGTTAATAATGTTACATATACATCCTTACACAACTCTAAATCCCAGTTTCCTGTTTTTATCTGCCTACACAGCACAGCTATTTGGACGAACTTTGGATATTAATGCATCTTGTTTTCTTTTTTCTTTTTTTTTTTTTCCTTTTTTTTTTCTTTTTTTTTTTTCTTCTTTTTTTTCTTTATCCCCACTAGCAATAAAATCCACTGAGTTAAGTGTTTTGGAAGAAAGAAAACTGAGCCAACGGAGAGAGGCATCAGTAAACATTTAATTAAAAAGAGAGACTGTCTTTCCTAATTAGGTACCACTGTTTTGATTCGAGGTGTTCTCCTTTTTTGGTGTCGGAAGTCTTTCCCAAACCGAGCAGACACTGTGCAACTTGCATCTCCTAGTGGCTCTAGTTAGCAAGGCAAGGGTTGGCGGCGGTTGATAATGATCACAGTGGTAATCTCTGTTTGAGTGCTTTTCTAGGCACTTGGAAGAGGCAGGAGCTGTGGAGAAACACCCCGAGGGGCTGGATCTCGCAGATGACATTCCCTGCCTCTTCTTCTCCTTCTTACTGCAGCTGAGCCAAAGAATACATTTATTCCTGCATATTGATTTTGTCCAAGTAGCAACTCTGTCCTGATTTTAACTGTCTTTTCAACACTTTTTCTCCACAGCTTGCATTTCAGTTTCAAAAGGCTTTCAATTAACATACAAAGATGGAATGAGACACTATTTCTTCCTTCCTTACACCCTTTGAAGAATTATTTCTATCTCTTTTTGTCTTAATTTATTTAATTTGAGTTTCGTTTGTTTGTTTGTTTTACATTTAGCTTATTTCTTCCCCCTCCTGTAAGGCTGGTATCTACTTCTCTTATTTTTGCCTGCTCCTGGTTTTGACTTTACTTTTTCCACTGCATTTCTTGATTCTTTCTATTTATCTTTGAAAAAGTAACAAGGTCTTCTGATTTCTGATCTATGCAATAATTAAAATCTACCTTCCTTCCACTAATCAGCTTTAAAAGTTACTACTTTTTAAGGCTTGGGTAGGGAAGTAAAACAGCTGTATCATTCTTTTATAAACGTTCCAAATAAGAATAAAAATGGTGATGATAAAATAAAATAAAGAAAAATTCATTTTAACTGTCTGAAATTGCAGCTCAATAGATCTGAAGTGACTTTGCTTTGGAAATGGTGGGGAAAATAATTTTTAAAAAGGAGAGTGAAGACAGAAATTGTCACACAACCTTCCGATAGTGAAAGAGGGGAACATGAGGGTTTTAGGCCAGTTTTTGTCCAGTCCTACCTACAAGGAATCAGTCTTGTTTAGTAGATTTTTAAAGAGCTCTTCTTTTAAGCAACCTGAATGACATTGAAAAGAGTCCAACAAATCCAGTTTTCTCAGCTTAAGTAATGCTGCACAGCTGCTGGAAATTAATGAGGAAAAAAACATTTCCTGGTTACCTAATGCTTCCTATTTGATATCACTAGGCCAAAGTCCTCTACTGTTCATGCAAACACACACATTCCACGAAGAAAATAGTCCAAGAAAATTTCTTACCTGATTCATGTCAAAGGTGTGAAACACCTGCTCAACATACTTGTTTGCCTGAGGGTTCATATCACGTAAGCCCAGTATTGTCTTAAACTCATAGAGAGAAAGTTGCCCAGAGGGGCAGTAGTTCATAAACTTCTGATACCATTGACTGTTGTCTATTGCAGCAACATCATCAACTGATTCCCCAGCACCCATAGCACCGGCTGCCCTTTCTCTCCATCCACGCCGCACTGTTCACCTTTGCGTAGTGCTCCTATATTCCCTGGCTTACCTCCAGCTAGAATTCACCCAACAAACCAGGAGCTGCAAAACTACCATAAACCTCTTAAAGATCCCCGCAGATCTGGATTAGGCAAAAATAGAAGCTGCACGGGATCATCCTTCGTGATCTGTTTGAATGCAAGCAGGCCTGTCAACAGCTGGGTGCTGCTGTCTGGCCACAGCTACCTCAACGTGTTCCCAGGGCTCAACCCGCTTCTGCAGGGGCTCTTGCAAAACTTGAAATTTGTGCTCACCCCATGCAAGATCCTATGGTCAGGTTTGCAGCCTTGGCGCACAAGCCAAACGTAGTGCTTTGCACTAAAAATGCTCTGGGTAGGATCACTTTGAACGCTTCCCAAACTGTGAAATGGTGTGGCTGTGCTTTGTTTGGAGGGCTTTGCGTTCAGCCCCTTGGAAAACAGGGAGAATCATAAATCCTGCAAAATGCTGACGATATGTATGGTGACTCCGGTGTGTGCCAGTAAGTGTTCATCCAGCTGAAGGAAGATAATATATAAACAAACCATACAATATCATAACATTAGCATTGAAAACAGATAATCTGATAATGTCTCACAGGAAATATCAGGTTATTTAAATAGAAAAAAATGGTGAAATTCTCACACTAGAACCTGCGGAAAGGATATAAATCAGAGCTAGTGAAACTCAGGGAGGGACTTATTAACTCAAGGCAGACTCTTCATGACTCTCCCATTAAAAATACATATTTTGACTTTGATTTAAAATTCTGTCTAATCCAAGCATGTGATAAATACTTTTCATATAATCTTAAGGTAAAAAGAAGTTGGAATATGTCCTTATTCATATACTCCTTAAAAAGTAAGAGTGTGGGGAGGCACTAAAAAGTAATTATATTGCTTCATTTGCATAATCCACTTAACACACACATTCTGTTCACACAGTCTCACTGATGGGTTTTCAGATAATACAGTGATATAAATTTGAATATTTAAAGCATGGTACTTTCAGTATCATAGAAACTAGAAGCTGATAGAGGCACTTCAGATAGAGTGAGATAGAACAATTTCAGGTTCAGGGAGAAGCTTGCAGCACACCAAAGCCTGCTATTTGCTTAAAATCTCACTTCCTAAATGCCAAATACATGCTGCAAGAGATTAGATCCCAAATTCTTTTCCTCATCCGGTAATGTCAAAGATCTGGCAGTGATTTTTACCCATCATGGGAGTAGACTCTGAGCCTCTAACAGAAGAAAAATAACATACAGACTTCAGAAAGAAAAAAAAAAAAGAAAAAAAAAAAGAAAAAGAAAACTAATGCTGCAATTTTCAACTTCAAAATCTAATTGCATTGCAGCGGGTAAGATGTTATGACACTTCAGGACCTTGACTTATGTGTAGCTTCTTGTCATTTCAGCTGGGATAATTTTCTTAAGAGTAGCTGCTGTGCTTTGGACTTAGTATGAGAATAAAGTTGATGAAACATATTGTTTTAGTTGTTGCCAAGTAAGGCTTGTCTTAAGTCAAGGACTTTATCAGCTTCCCATAGAAGCTGAAAGGGATCTTAGGCAGGAAAAGCTGGTCAAAGGCATATTGCATATCATAAACATCATGCTAAGTATATAAATGAGGGTAGGGGACAGGAATCCACAATCACTGCTCGGGATGGGTTTAGCAACCAATTACCAGGTAGTGAACAATTGCATTGCATCCTTAATTTTGTATATTCTTTATTATTATTATTAATAATTACTTTCTCTTCCATTGATGTTCTATTAAACTGTCCTTATCTCAACCCATGAGTTTTTTTGCTTTTTCTCCCTCTTCTCCCTATCCTGCTGAAGGGAAGCAGGGGGAGTGAGTGAACAGACGTGTGGTCCTGGTTTCCCTCTGGAGTTAAACCACAATATTTCCTTCACAAAAAAAATTGTATCTGCTTATTCTGTTAAGAAAGAGTTAAATAGTTTCCGCTGACCAAATGAGGTAGGTTGTTATTCCACTGAAGAGGATGAAGAGACTTGTTTTATCTAACCTGTGAAGAGCTGAGTCATCTTGAAATAAGCTCCTTCAGCTCTAATAAGCATGGAATTGAGCTGGATTTCTGTATTAAGACCAGAATCCAGAAGACAAATGCATTTTGATTGTACTACACATAAGTCATGTGCTTGTTAGAGAAGTGTCGATATAGTCACAATGATCAAGAATAGTATGAGGGTACTGTTACTGAGAAAGCTCGTGCCAAGCTGTAAAAATCCCATATGCGTTACTCTTGGCAAGCTGGTATACCAACAGCTCATTATTCTTCTTACGTAAATTGGTTCCCTAAGCCAGCCTTAGAATGACTTCACAGGAAACACACATTACAACAGACAAATATACACTTCATATCAAACTAAACAGATGTGGAGTGAAACTCAAAGGGGAAGCTTATGAAATCCTGGCATGTGGCTCGAGAGGTCCTGCTCCTCATTTGCCACAGGGTTTTCAGTGAGGCTCTCACAAGACTTCATTCAAGGCAAGAGAAAAATAAAACTGAGCTACAGCTTATCTAGATGCTCTGTGTTGTATCTGAATCCTGTAGTTACACTGTTGCCATTTCATCAAAAATAGTGGTTTTTTCCTATTATTAAAAATGAGAAAGTAAAACATCCAGGTGAGACATTCTGGTTCATTTGATTCATTTCCCTAAGTGTTAAAGAGTTTCCAACCACTACAGTTTACAAATAGTTTGCACAAGGGAAAAAAACTTGACAGCCTTTTATCTGAGAGTAGATGCCATGTTCTTAATATTATATCCAGCTGCAAAGGATACAGACTATACAGTCCCAGGTATATGACTCTTCAAAATTCCACTCCTGCCTTCTAAATAACTTTTCCTGGGCCTGTTGCTGCAACAGCTCAACTAAGAAAATATACAATAAAATCTACACCTCAGATTAAAGTAGCCAATGGAGGATTGTTAGAACACCTTGCTGACCTGGAAATGAATATCAGATCTTTAGTGGGACCTCATTATTAAATAATGAAGTTATAAGCCTAGCATAAGCAGTTTTTATAGTGGATTTTATGAAGCCTAAAGGCCAAGTCGTTGTTTAATTTCATTAAAATAGGGGGAAGACTTCCAAATGGATAAAACATTGAAACATATTTTTCTGTCTAACATGGAACATTAATTAAACAAGCTCTTCTGGAAACAGCAAAACAAAAGCCTAGATTTGTACAGACTCTGTCTTTTGTCCCCTAAATCTCCACACCCTAATACCCCAGCACCACCCTGCATCGTCACAAGGCAAAAGGAAACAAGCGTCTGATTATTTTGTCAGGCAGCTTTTACCTTAAACAACGAATAACAGCTGAATTCTGCATAAGTGGTGCATTCATTCTGAATGTGTCCTTGCCACCCAGCTGGCATTTTGATGAAAACTTTAAGAACTAATTAGCTGGAATTCCTACTCTTTGAAATTTCATTAAAATGCGCCGATCGATTGAAAAGTTATGGGGAAACAGGAGAAGGGTATCAGAGATTGATGGACGGGACTGTGTTACAGTCAAATTCTGATGTTTGTATAAGTATAACCTGACACGTTTAAGGCTTGTGTCTTAATACTCATCAGGTACCCAGGGAGTAGCTTGCTCAAGGAAAGCCATTTGCACTGGGAGGGATGCACCATGATTAGTAACTTGTAAAAAACAACCAACAAAAAGACACTGCCACCCTCTGCACCACCCCACTCCCCCCCTCAAAAAAATCCCAACCATAAAAACTGAAATCACAAACCAACCTGAAACTCCAAAAAAGCTCCCCACCTTTTTGGTTTGGAGCTCTTTCCCTATTTAGACAAATCTCAGGTTCACATAAAGATAGTCTTAATATTGAATGACTAGCTACTTTTGCAAAATACTTTTTCCTTATAGAAAGGTACTCTAAATAAACTAGGTATGGAAAAGTATTCTTCACAAGTATATAAAAAGCAAATGCCAGCATCTATATGCGCATTCTCAACACTGTAAGTAATATAAACAAATGAAGCAAACTTAGTTTTAATTACACTCAGTATTACAAGGACTACAAACTGTAGAGACAGCTGAATGGAGTAAAGTGGTAAAGAGCAACTGTGTCCTGAAAGTTTGCATCTATTCTACTCTCTCTGCCTGTGCTGAATGCACCATGTGCTGAGTACGATAGATATTTTCAATACCAATCAATACCAACATATCAATACCGATGGCAGTGGCAAGTTCTAGGCATTTCTGTCGATGCAGAACTATTTGAAGGGCGCTTCTCCCCTCTGCACACCCTCAGTTATCCCATGGCAAACACTCAGTTTCCCAATGCCTGGGGTTGGTCCTTCACTGCTATGCTATCATCTTGACAGAAGCCTGATTTTTAGGAAGTGTTCATGTCATGTTCCGTCTTTCTGAAAAAGTAACTAAAACAAACTGCAGCCTCAATGTTCTGAGACATCCTCAAGTCACTAGTTGCTTTAAAAGTATTTGTCTAAAATAAATTTTGGAAAATTTTCCAAATATTTCTTAATAGCACTGAGACATCAGGGGCTTTTTGCAGTACACAATAAAGCTCAACTGAAAAAGCTCTTAGATGAGTTCAAACATTGTCCGTGTGCATTACTCAAGAAAGTTAGCATTGTTAAAGCTTTACTGGGGAACAAAATGCATGGATTTATTAATTGAAAAGAACACAGTTAAGCTGACAATTTCTGCCACTGAGATTTCATATTGATAGACTTGAAGTTTGCCCACCAACTGTAATTAGCCCATTTATTGATTTAGGTGATTCTACTTAATCAAATTCCTTATATCTAACCATCTGGTAATTGGCCTGGGGGAAGAAAAGAGCATGCAATGAGCCTGATTTTATAGAAGCAGTACTGGAAGATTATCTAAGAAAGAATTACCTAATACCAAAAAAGCAAACTGAATTGGGGGTGGGAGTAT